GCAATATTGTAGAGGGACGTTTCTGGCAGATCCTGTCTGAGAGGGATAAAAGGTCACACAGTTCCTCTGCTGTTCTGTGACAGTCTCTGGGCTGGGTCAGAGGGTTGGAGAGTTATGTCTAGATCTGGAATGGATCACTCACACAATTAAGGTCTTGTCAGGCTTAAAAAAAAAAAAAAAAGAAAGAAAGAAAAGAAAAAAGAGACAGCACAACTTCCCCAGGCAAGAGGACCGCCAGATGGAAAGTAACTATTTCTCTCCACCTACTTTAAAATTTGAAATGAAAATGAGAATTAATGATGGAAAAAACATTTCTAAGTTTTAGAATACACTTTCTCTTGGGCAGCTGGGGTTACTATTTTGAGGTGATGTTTGGAAATCTTGGGAAAACAAAACTCTGATTTTTTTCCTCACTGGGAACTGGTTACTCAAGTTAAAACACACACACACACACACACACACACACACACACACACACGAAAACACACTCAAATCTCCTTTTAACTCACAAATTAAGCCCTATGAAAATATCATTATAATATATAGTAGATGGTCCTCAACTATTAAATCCATACTTTTTTTATACATAGAATTATATAATGCTGTTTGTATGCAGAATTTAGATAGTCATGTATCAGCTGACAAGTGGACATTTTAAAGTTTCTTCTTATTGATGCTGCCTGTAAGCAACACTTTAGTTTTGGCATTTTCATATTTATCTGATATCAATGTTTGCTTTTGTTCAATTATTGATAAAACAGAAGTATTGAGCCAGAGATGAAAATGACTAGGCTTGTTATAAGTGGCAAGTGTTTGGCTTCAACCAGATACTCACTGTGTGATCAGCTGGAAAGGAAAAGAATAAACAGATAAGTATGAAAGTTTAGGAATAGATTGCTGAAGGCTATTAAAAAGGTAAGGAACCATGTATGTTTGACTCCTTGAGCCAGACCCACTCCCACCTCACGTACACACACATCCAATACACTTAAGTTTATTGTTACAATTTCAGTGATTTTGATTTCCCTATACATTTTCGGAGACCTTGTATGTACTAACAACGTCTAAAGGTTAGACTCTAAATCAATTATTATTAGTGACAATGTCCAGCACAGATTCATGGAAGATTAAGAGACAGAAGGATCCTTAGAGTTCATATCCTTCAAAAGCTTACAGATGAAATAGCAGATTAAATAAGTGGAGGCCACCAAGATGATCTTACCTGCCCAATGCTCCGCAGCTAAATTAACGGTGGCACTGGGACCGGAACCCGGGGTTCCTCTCCTTCAGTATTCTATCACTATTATTTGTGATGCCCTGCCAGCATGTTAACATTACAGCTCTATCTCATTCCTCAAAAATCACTGCAGGCAGGATTCCAGATAGCTTTGAGAACCGTTAGCGCCTCCAGGTTTGGGGCCTGGGAATGTGATTCTCGCTCCACAAAATCAATGCAGTATCAAGACCTGAATGCTAAATCAATATTGGCTGATGTTGCAAACGTTTCCAAATGGTTTTTGCATTTTATCTTCCAGGTCTAAGGTTAAACATCACCTTTTTAGAAATGCCTTCTCTAGCAAGCTTATTTATGCTTGCCCCTGTTCTTCCTAAAATTTTATAGTACATGTCCTATTTTGAAATAATATATTTTGCTTATTTATTGTATATCTTTTCTAATAGACTGTAAATTCCACGAAGGCAGGGGTCACTTGTTTTGTTCACTACTGTTTATCTAGCTCCTAGTGTAGTTGTTGGCATAGATTATGCTCAAATAATATTTGTTGAACAAATGAATTTATCTCTTTAACCCATGGTGGAGGTAAGCCTTTCTGAAGCCCTAATTATCTTTTATTCTATCCTAAACTTGGCTTCTAAGCCCAAGGGATTAATGTTCCAGTGAAGTAGATTTTAGCTCAGCAAAAGCTACCCATTAGAGAGATTCAGAAGTAAAATGAGCTATTTTGTGGGATACTGATCTCTTTGCCAAGAGCTACCCAGGTTCACAGGACATCTCTGCATTAGGTAGAAGTTTGACCTTGACAACCTCTCAGTAACCTCCATGACTTCCAACTCAAAGTTTCTGTAGTTCTTTTCAGCTATTTGATTTTAAGTTACACTAAAATAAAGTACATATACAAACTCATTGGGAAATAACCTAAGATAAATCATCTAATGTGACTTAGAAAGTCGATTATTCAGGCACGCATGCCTTTTTACAATTATTTGATAATACAAATTCTACTGAATATACAATTTGCTAAAAGTCCATATATATGTAACTCAATGAAGACTAAAAGTAAAGAGTTAAAAAAATTTGTGTGGCATTTCACAATTTTAAACACACACACACACACACACACACACACTTTCATGTAATTATTATATCAACTCTGAGGAAAATGACGTATGAGCTCCTACAGAGTAAGTGGCTTGTCCAGAGTCACACATGCAATTTGGTAGAACTGTCAGGTCTCACTCTAACAGACAATATTACTTTGGACTCCAGAGTTACCCATCCTGTAGGTTTAGCTATATTTGCATCCTTATCTTGGACTGAAAACACCTTTCTTCTAAATTTCCCTGGGAAAAGGCCAAATGGAATTTTAAAATATAACTTTTTATAGGTATTAAAATGTATTTTATTATTAGAGAAGTTATAAACATCTAATATAAACAAATCATAACAACAGCGAACAGTTTAAATAATTAATACATCTCATTAGCTTTCATAATTAAAGATTTGGGTTTTTTTAAATTAAATTTATTGGGTTAACAGTGGTTAACGACTTTATAGAAGTTCCAGGTGCAATTCTATAATACATCATCTGTAGATTGCATTGTGTGCTCACCACCCAAAGTCTAGTCTCCTTCTGTCACCATATATTTTTTACCCTTTTTACCCTCTTCATCCTTCCCTCACCCTCCTTTCCCTCTGATAACGACCATACTGTTGCGTCTATGAGTCTGTTTGTTTGCCACTTTTTGTTTTATGTCCCACATGAGTGAAATCATATGGTTTTTGTCCTTTTCCATCTTTTATTTTATTTAGCATGATACTCTCAAGATCCATCCATGGTTGTCACAAATGACAATATATTATTTTTTACAGCTGAGTATACCACTGTATATATGTACCACTTTTTCTTTATCCAATTGTCAGTTGAAGGACACTGAAGTTGTTTTTATGTCTTGGCTGTTTTGAATAATGCTGCAATGAACATAGGAGTACATACATCTTTACGAATAAATGCTTTCAAAATTTCTGGGTAGATACTCAGAAGAGGTATTGCTGGGTTGTATGGTAGCTCTATTCTTAATTTTTTTAAGAATATAGTTTTCCAGAGGCTGCACCAAATTACATTCTCACCAGCAGTGTATGAGGGGTCTCTTTTCTTCACATCCCCTCCAACATTGGTTATTTCTTGTCTTATTGATAATAGCCATTCTAGCAAATGTGAGGTGGTATCTCTTTGTAGTCTTGATTTGCATTTACCTAACAGCTAATGAAGTTAAGCATTTTCATGTATTTGTTGGCCATTTGTATGTCTTCCCGGAAGAAGTGTCTGTTCAGGTCCTCTGCCCATTTTTTAATTGGATTGCTTGTTTTTTGGGGTTTTTTTTAGTTCTTTATATATTTTGGATATTAGCCCCTTATCAGAGGTATCATTTGCAAGTATCTTCTTCCATTGGTTGGTTGCCTTTTTGTTTTGTTGATGGTTTCTTTTGCTGTGCAGAAACCTTTCAGTTTGACATAGTCCCCTTTATTTATTTTTGCTTTTACATCTCTTGCCTTTAGGGTCATGTTCACAAAAATCCCTCTGAGACCAAAGTCCGTAAGTGTAGTACCTATGTTTTCTTCTATGGATTTTATTGCTTTAGGTCTTATATTCAAGTCTTCAATCCAATTTGAGTTATTTTTTTGTGTACAGTGTCAGATAGCCATCTAGTTTCATTTCTTTGCATGTGGCTTTCCAATTTTCCCAACATAATTTATTAAAAAGGCTTTCCTTTCTCCATTGTATATTTTTGGCTCCTTTGTCAAAAATTAGTTGCCCAGATATGTAGGTTTATTTCGAGGCTCTCAATTCTGTTCCATTGGTCTTCATGTCTATTTTTCTGCCAATACCATACTGTTTTGATTGCAGTAGCTTTGTAGTATAATTTGAAGTCAGGAAGTGTGATGCCTTTGGTTTTGTTCTTTTATCTCAAAATTGCTTTGGCCATTTGGAGTCTTTTGTGATTCCATACAAATTTGAGGACTTTTTTGTTCTATTTCTTTGAAAAATGCCACTGGGATTTTGATAGGGATTGCATTAAATCTGTATATTGCTTTGGGTAATATGACCATTTTAACTACATTAATTCTTCCAATCCATGAACATGGAATATCTTACCATTTCTTTGTGTCTTCTTCACTTTCTTTCAACAATGTCTTATAGTTTTCAGTGTGTGTGTATATATATATATATATATCCTTCACTTCCTTTGTTAAGTTTATTCTTAGGTATTTTATCCTTTTTGTTGCAATTGCAAATGAATTGTTTTATTCCATTTCTTTTTCTGATATTTCACTGTTAGTATATAGGAACACAATGGATTTTTGAGCACTGATTTTGTATCCTGAAACTTTACTGCATTTGTTCATTGCTTCTAATAGTGTGGTGGAGTCTTTAGGATTTTCTATACATAGAATTATGTCATCTGCAAATAGTGACAGTTTTACTACTTCATTCCCAATTTGGATACCTTTTATTTCTTTCTGTCGCCTCACTGCTCTTGCTAGGACATTCAGTATTATGTTGAATAAGAATGGTGAGAGTGGGCATCCTTGTCTTGTTCCTGATCTTAGAGGAAAGGCTTTCACCACTGAGTATAATATTATTAGCTGAGGGTTTATCATATATAGCCTTTATTATGTTGAGGCACTTCTATACCCTTTTTAATGAGGATTAACAGTTATTAAATGTGATTTTTTTCCCATCCAGTCTGATGAAAACAGATTTCAATTCAGAATAGGAACTTTATTAACTCATGACCCCGCAAAAAATATTTTCTTTTTTAATGTTCAGTAAAACGCTGAAAATAAGATGAACATTTATCACAGGTTAAGTGGCAAGGGAGACAAGATCCAACATTGTAGTTTTAGCTACTAGTAGTTTCTCAAAGATCACACAAGATAGTGATCTAACCATTAAAGACAAGTAAAATACACTACTATCCCATCCTGTCTTAGAGTTTGAAAAGGCCTTTGAGACCATCTAGTTCAATTTCTTCATTTCTTCTTAATTGACATAATAGATTTGAGATTTTACCAGCTATAAGTACCTCTTCTTGAGAGTTCATCTTTCTATGAAATGCCTTCAACTTTCTAAGAAAAACATGATCACTTCTATTTTTCATACATTATATGTTAGGGCAGGACAATTACATTTTGAAAACGTCTGCATTTTAAAAATTCAAACATGCATCCTCCATGTGCGGTACCTCTGTCTCGGGGTGATTTTCCTTAACCAGTCTTCCAGCTATAAAAGACATGAATGAGTAAATCTTGGAAAAGGGATAACATCTTTGATATTGTCAATTCCCAAGATGCACTGCAGATAACGTTCAAATCCCATCCCAAAACCTCCATGTGGCACAGATCCAAATCGACGGAGGTCCAGATACCTGATTTTAAAAAACAGAGAATCATCACCTATAAATGCTGTATGGGATCAGATATTATAAAATAATTTTATGTTTCAAAGATTTTTGTAATCACTTATCATTCACATCACTGTGGTAGACTAGTCTTTTCCCTCCACAGACAGACAGATGAAGGACACAGAGAAGCTAAAGTGATCTGTCCAAGGTTATCCAAACAAACAGCAGCAAATCTTTCATTCATTCATGAACTTTGGTTACTCGATCTTTTTTTTTTTAATTTATATACTTATATACCGAAAACTTGCCTCATGAAGCTACAGAAAATTTTCTAATAACTGCACTAATTTTCTTCAAAATATATTCCTTTTCTGTTTCTTAGTATGTTCTTCAGTAGATGCTTACTACATAAAAATTTGTTTGAAGGCACAAAAATATACTCTTGAGCACTGAAGTAAGAAGAAACTTCCAATTCTCTGCTTTAAGCTTAGTGGAAGATGTCCATTTATCTAGAAGGCTAGGTAGCCTCTGAAGCCCATCCATACCTGTCCTATTCCCACTAAAGATGGCTAGAAATGGCTAGAAAATTGAACAGCCATGATTCAAACTCAGATTTTAATACACTAGCTTGGGAAAAATTATTTTAGGAAAGGAATAGGAAAAAGGAGATTCTGTAAATATTTCTATGTCATTTGGTAGAATTCTTGGGTTACATAAGATTGAGTAAAACAAGTTTATAGCTTCTTGAATGATTTGTAAATCAGAATAAAACTTAAAAGCCACAGCTAGTAGTTATTTAGCTCCTCAAGGATAAAGACTATCACCTATTTCCTCAGTTAATAATAATGACTACATGTATTGGTATTTTATTATAGGCAGTTAGGATTAAGTACTTGTCTTTCTAAAATAAAAGATGAATTGCAACTAGGTGAGTTAGAACCAAATGAATGATATATAAACAGAAGTATCTAGTATAAAACTTCAGATTAGTGAGAACTGTCAGAAATAATGGAAGGAACACAGTCTTGAATAATTGAAATGTTTGGTAGCTGAACTAACTTTTAAGTTTACAAAGCATGGGGGCAGGGAATACTTTGACTTAGTGAGAAAATAAGATGAAGGACATATCAAACCACGGGCCCCAAACACCTGCAGGATCTGAGCTAGCTGCTAGAAGTTTAGCAACAGCTTTAGGTGGTTCTAAATTTCTCATGCATAGATGTCAAAACACTTGCATAATGTCTGGAAACTGAGTTCAACAGAGAGATTTAGTCTGTAGCATTTTTCTTGCCTTTGCTTTGATAGATGGAAAAATCCACTTGTAAGACACAAGTTTTAAAATGAATTTGTATTTGTTGGATTGTTGTTAAATTGATTCTAGGGTAGCTAGATTATAGAAGAGATGGTACAAAATTTGTGGAACTAGTTACAGGTTTTATTTGCATATGGTATGTAGAAATAGGAAGTAAATTCTTAGACACCTGTGGTGGCCCCTCAGCGCAGCGGAATACTAGCAGAGGTCACAGACTTAAGATTTTTAAAATCTCTTCTACCTTTAAAATGCTATGACAACCATTTAAAAGGAAGAGGATTCAAATAATAAGTATTTATATTTGGAGAGCCTAACAGTTTGAAAACATTAGTTGGGAAAAGAATAATATTGAAATGATCAATTAAGACCAGAAAAGGCCTAAACTTATTTAATCAATAATTAAAATTTGTATTTAGCTAGTTTTTACACACTATGAATATTATCCTGTAGACAGAAGCTGAGGTAAAATGTACAAGCTTGCTCAATCAGGCTCATCTACCTAATAGTAAGCCTCAGAACAAAGGAAGAAAACGGTGTAGGAAACTACCATTTACTGAGCTTCTGCCCTGTGTAGATACTTAGCCTACATTATATTGTTTCATTTCATCCTCACAATAACCTGTGACGTAGATATTATCATTCCATTTTACAGTCAAGAAAACCAAAACTCAGATTAAGTGTGGTAAATAACAAAGGCATTCAAGGGCCATTACCTGAACACAATTTTAGGCTTTTTGCCTTTCTGAAATCCAGTTCCTTCATTACCAAAATTTGAGTGTGTAATTTGACACTTCCTTCTTCTGAGGACAGGGAAAGAATTAATAATACTATTGATATTATTATACCAAGATCCTGGAGGAGTGCTATTACAGAAACATGAATAAAAAATTTGTCTATCTTGAAAAGTACTCAAAGAAAGGGTCTGCAGAAAGAAAACCAGAACTTTGGAAAAGTAAACGTATGACTGCCGAAAACTGATCTTCCCTCGGCAGTTTAGATTTCTACAGTTGGTGAGGATCACTTAGGGATCACCTCAGTGATCAAGCTCCTAATTTAATACAGAGAAACTGAAGGATACTAGTTAGGAACAAAGTCCCAGCTTCTAAATCTGTGCTCTTGGTTAAGTTAATTAACATCTCTAGGCCTCGGGTCTGGAGGAGTAGTAAAAAAGGGATAAGAATAGTACCTAACGCAGGGAGTGTTAGGATTACATGAGATAATATACATCAAATTTTTCACACAGTTATCTGGAACACAATAATAAATAAATGGCAGCCATTATTGTTACTATTTTCCAAGGGCTCAAAGGGAATAAGTAATCTGAGAACCTGTTCATTGCTCTTAACACTCTTCCATAGTGCCTTGGGAATACAAGTAAAACGTATGTAACGCTCAGAGCAACAGATAAAACAAGAATCATCAGGGGCTGCACTCTTACCATTGGTAGGCTTCTGTCAGTCCTAATCTGCAAAACAAAAATAAAGCTCTTTCAGAGAATGGCAATAAGATAAATATACTAACCACAATTTATTCTGGGTTATGTGTTCTTTAAAGAAGTGCACACCAAAACTTGTGCTCTCAAATAACATGCAATATATTTGAGTAGCTAAACCTTCATTACATGGTAAGAAAGGGGTGTTAAACAATAGTCCCAGGTATTATTAAATACGTGGCAAAAACAATAAATGTTATAGAAAGTATGGTCCAGAGCCCAAAAGAAGGGGTTCATTTGAGATGAGTTTACTATCCTAGGACATAAGGAAAGCACTATTACTACTACTTAAGGTTGTCGTGAGGCACACATAAACACACAAAAAAGGGATACACAGACATACCTTTCATTCTACAACATGAAAACAAAAATATAGATCCTGAGGCTACCTTTAAAATATGGTTGCTAATTGGTTTTTGCCAATTTGAGAAATGTTAGTAAAGTTTTAAGCTCTCAGTACTCATCAAAATTAATTTCAGCCCTTTAAAAAAGTGTGTGGGACCACAGTGCATCTGAAGTGATCAGGATGATGAAAAACTCAAATATGCAAAAATACAGAATACACAAATAGAAGTCACAGACAGACAGATCACTGAGAGAGGGAAACGCATATATGCATTTTATTCGGAAAGATAAATTTGGATATTATCAGATGTTAGGTAAACATTTAACGTTATGAGGAAAGGTTTCCTGAAGGAAGGAAGCAAGCAAAGAAAACAGACCAATTAATCTTTCAACAGATGAGGTTTCTTGCCATGTGTGATTTTTATTGTGCTTTTTTAAAAAAACCCAGAGAATCTTTAAATTCTTTCCATCTAAGGAGTTTGACCTTAACTTCAATTTCCTGATTTTCCCAGGACTTTCTAACACTATGGCAATAGTAAGGAGTTAGTAGTTTAACTGATTAAAAAAAAAAAAAGAGTCCTCCCAGAATATATTCATCCCCTTTCTTCTGGACAGTAACCAAATAGAGCAGTTCAAGTAATTAGGATTACAAAACCAAGTTACCCCAACAGCTTTATAGGTTGGGACATTGGAAAAGCATCAACTTTTTAAGCATTTTTTCCATTAGGAAAAGGCCTTACAAATGCTAATTTAACAGGATATTTTTCAAACAATTATGGCTTTTCCAGGTTACTATGAAACCCAGGAGAGAAGGATTATGTCTTCAACATGGGAAAGCCTTTTTTTTTTTTTTTAAAGTTGGGTACGGCAAAAGTGAAAACCATGGAAAACAGAGGTTTATAGCCTTAGTTTAGGAAGTCATTGTAGTTTGTTGGCAGACCATGCATACATAGGAGTGGTAGTTCAATTAGAAACACGATTCCCTGCCCCTCTTCTCCAAAACATTTTCGGTGTGTTTATGGATTCGTTTCCCAGGTCTCAAATAGCAAGTTAAAATAAGTTATTCCAATAGCTAAATCAAGACCTTTACACAATGTAGAAAACCAGAGGAAGGGAAAACTGCTTATTCTAAATGCTATTATAGCTTAGCACCTATTTTTAGTATCTTTCTTTCTCCGTCTTTATCCTTTCCCTGGTTCAGAGTTTGTTTTTCTTTATGTCCCTACAGGAGTCTGCCAATCATAAATTAGAGTAAATAAAAAGGAACGCATAGAAGAGAAAAGTCAAAATGAAGGACAACCTTTAAGGGGGAAATCTCCCTTGCTCTTCTATCATTGTCACTTAGAATTTGAGGTTCAGGTCTGTCAGGTGCTAAGGCTCATAAGCTGTTGTTCTCTGTTACTTTGCTATGACTGCCTTGGAGTGCCTCATCCCCAATTTCTGAGCTTTGTTTCCCTAGGTCTGATGAATACCTGGCCAGTCGCTGCTCTAAGAAATGGTACCGCTCCTCTCGGAGGCTTCCTCCAAAGAGCTCTCCAACTCCAGGAACCAGAAGATCAACAGCAGCAACCTAAAAAGGAAAAATAAGTCATACACATTACATTTTCAGGGGATTCCAACAACTGTCAGCTTCTCAAGCAAGTGGAACTTGTAACATTTTGACAACTGGCTGATTAACTGCATATCAGAATCTCATTTATGTTATCTGTTCATGTCCCGTTTCAATATCAAATGTTTAATATTATCTTTAGAATACATACTACACAAATTGCAGGTGGACAGTTTCCTCTCCTCTCTTGCATCACTTATGCATTGTACTTAAAAAATGTGTTTTCTTCACAAATGATATGTTAGTTATAAAAAATATGGAAAGTATTAAAAATTATGAAAGATTAAAAATTACCTATCACCATGCAGAAGCAATTACATATTAGCATATTTTCTTTCAAGTTTCTTTTTTTTTTTTTTAAGCTGAGCCATCCTGCCACCTGTTGGCAGCTCAGTGGCTGCTCAGTTCAGGCTGGGAATTGAACTGCTGTTGCTCAGAGCTCAAACTCTTGAGCGAGCTCTTAACCAACTGAGCCACTTGGCTAGCCCTCAGGTTTTTTCTTATACATTTAAAGGGTATAGATTTAAATTACATATAAAAATTTACCATTCTAATATCTCACTAATATTACACAATAAATATTTTCCCTACATCAGTTCAAGTACTTTGCATACTTACTGTTTTAATAGCTGCACAGTTTGTTGTTTAGGAGTCATAGTTTTTATTTAACTGCTTTCCTTTTGTTGAACATTCAGGGGTATGTGTGTGTTTGTTTTCTCTTATATTGGGTTGTTGGAAAAGTAATGATGCATTTTTGCAACAAAAACCAGAAAAATACATCATGACTTTTCCAATAACCCAATAAATAATGTGGCAACAGAGATTTTTCTTTAATTTGTAGTATTTTGTTGAGACATGTAAAATGTGTTTTGATTATTAATCAAAGAAGTATAAATTAAAACCATTAGATACCATTTTGGAGTTATCAAACTGGTGAAGATAAGAAAACAACATAAACCATGTGGATTAGAGAATGCGTAAACCAATACTCTCATACATCTGATACAACCTTTCTGGTCAGCAATTTGGCAAAAGATGATTAAAAGCCTTAAAAATGCAATATGCTTTGAATCAGCAATAGCAGTTCTAGGAATTGGTTTTGGCAAAATAATCAGAGATGCAAAAATAACGTACAGGATGTTTACTGGAGCATTACTTAAAATGACAAGAAATTCAAGTATACATCAATATGAGACTAGGTAAATTTTAGACATGGATAGAAAAAGGACATCTATACAATGAGATGTTCATTGTGTTGTCACTGTGACTTTTATTTGTATTTTCTTATTTTCTACTATAATGATGTTATACCTTTGTAATAAGAAAACAACAAAAACAATTAATGGGGTAAATGGTAACTTGATATTTTAATTCATATTTAATTACTATTAATAGTTCATTTTTGAGAATGTTTATTTGCTATCCGTATTATCTTGTGACTTGACAATTCTTTTGAGGGGAAGGGGTAGACATTTTTAAGGCCAAGAATATGAAGACACAAAACTAAGACTTAATGCAACAAGTGAAAAATTAGGAATCCATACAACACATTTTAATTTTAAAATTTCATATTATAAGCCCTTTTCTTAAACTTTGCCTCACTTTATTATTAAGCCATCCCCTTGTTTTGATTTCAGAACTTTTGATTGAGATATACTGTATAAATAACTGAGATTAATAAAGAATATAGTAATTCAAGAATCTGCCCCAAATGCTGTATACCTCATCATTAAAAGAAAACATTAGGCATGTTTTTCATCAATCACTTGGCTGAATTGGAGTAAGAGAGAGCAGAAATTCACTAATGGTTTCTACTTTTCCTAAATCTCCTACCACTCAATAAACTGGTGAGGAGGAAGTGTACAAGCAGGTCTTTGTTGCGCTACCACAGTTTAATGATTCTTCTAGAAATTTGGGGGCCTACAATGAACAAGCAGGCATTTTAGTATGTGGATTTGGTGATTCAGACATGATAGTAGGTAGTGAAATGAACAGCGTTGGAAAGGTAGACAAGAAAGGCTTACTAATATGATAAGGAAGTTCTCAGGGGCTATATATACAATTAATAGAGTCAGACTCCAGTCAGGAGCCTTCAGTGACCTTTTCTATTCTCAGAGAAAGGAGAAGGTTCAAGAGTTTTTATGGCTACAGAAGGACTGGCGTCTTTATCTACTAGTTTCTTGCTTTTAGACATGGCTAAAACATGCCATGGGTTGAGACACATGATGAAAAATTTGTTCTTAACTTCAATTCCAAGTTTTTAATTGAAAATTATAGGCAATAGGGGTTGGCAGAGAATAAGACAACCAAGCGGCTCTCTGGCCTTCACTTGAAAATATTTAGACTGGGAAATGTTACCCTTGAAATATAGCATTCCATCCTTGTGTAGCTCTGACTATTAAAAAGGGATAGGCATATCTAAAGTCTATCATTTATTTCCAAGGTTCTGAAGTTGGGGCGAGTCCAAGCCACAAAGGAGGGCAGTAATTGCTTCTGATACTGCAAGTACATGGGGAAGCTTTAAGAGGCAGAGCTAAAAAGATCCACTGCCTCAGAAAAAGATGCTGGATAATCCGTTATCATGGGAGACCAGGTAGTCCAGCTGAGGCTGGTGGCCAGTGATGAGGGAATGACGCAACAACCCATGAGTTGTTCTGCTTTCTCTGTTAGTCCATAAGCATCAAACAAGAGATCCATTTCTTACTTGGTCTTGCTGCTAATACAACTAAAAGAAGCAAAATAACAAACATAACAAAACAAAACCCTTTTGGGATCTTAGCACTTTTTACAGGTCTAAATTGTACTAATTTTGGACCTTTGTTTTTTTTAACGCTATTTTTAGAGGAGTGTAAAAGATTCATATTTATCTTTGATTACAAACCTCCTTTATTTTAACATTTTGAGTTCACTGGAGAATTCAATATGCAACCATATTGGTTTTAGACCTTTCTATCTGGTTTTTGTTTATCCAGAATATTTGCAACTGCACAGTAACAGCTGTATAACTGGAAGCTGCTGAACTTTTTGAGTTACCTTTGAAAATCTTATGCCATAGTAAGATATCTACATTTTTTTTTTCTGGATTTCTTTCAAACCTGTCTTCCTAATAACCAAGGTACCTAACTGGTTAAGCTCAACTATTTCCACATTGGCTATTATGAAATTATTAATAGTGTGGTAGTTGCTGTATTTATCAGGATAGGTTAGGTTATGCTGTATTTATAATAAACAACTCCAGAAGGTTAAAATGGGGCTTCTCCACCTTAGTGTCAGTGACATTTTTTGGCCAGGTAATTCTGTTGTGAGGGCTTGTCCTGTGCATTCTGGGATGTTCAGCAGCATACCTGGCCTCTGCTCACCAGATACCAGTTGTACTCCCCTAGTTGTGACAACCAAAACTGTCTCCTGGGTGGGGGTGGTGGGAAGCAAAATAACCCGATTGAGAACCACCGCTTTACAACAATGAATTGGCTTTTAAAAACTTAATGCTACATGTCCATCCTGGCTTGAAGCTGATAGAAAAGCCTCTTTCTGAGGTACTGCTGATCTGCGGCAGATGGAAAAAGAAAGCGCACAGATGACTACGTGCAGAAGCCTTTGTCCAGAAGTAAGGTATGTAGGTCACGTTTGCTCACAATTCTTTGGCCAATGCAAGTTACTAAGCTCATGTCCGTGGGGCAGGGCAGTATAATTCCCCCCGAGGGAGGAGTGGCAACTATTTACTGTGTTTCCCCAAAAATAAGACCTAACCAGAAAACAAGCCTAGCATGATTTTCAGGGTGCTTGTAATATAAGCTCTACCCCAAAATAAGCCCCAGCTAAGATCATCAACCAGACATGACGGTATTTGAATAAATGTAGGTTTTTGTACGTGAATAAATGAATAAAATGCGTCTTTTGGAGCAAAAATTAATACAAGACCCGGACTTATTTTTGGGGAAACATGGTATGTACCATAAAACAGTTTACCATGTTGCTTTCCCCCCACCTGCCTGGACTCTTCCCCTGTATTCTCCTGCCAATTCCTCACTGTTCGTTAGAATTAAGGTCAGAATAGGAGTCCCCTATTTTCTTGCTCTGTACGCTGGGAACTTAACAGTAGAAAAGAACTTACCAAAATTGTTTATTTCAGCTGAGTAAAAATTTTAGAAGACATCTTGGGAAAGTCCCATATCACTACTAATTTTGTGATATGAAGTAACAAATTTATGTCCTTTCTTTGACTAAAATGGTCTGAGAACTCACACTCTCAGGTGGGTGAATTCCCTGTATGTTTTCTTGACATAGAGTTAATAACGTTGCTTCTCCTCTTTAAGAGTTCTTTTTGTTTTGAGTAACGCATTCCTTCACAATGCCCAATAAACATTCTACCGTGTTTCCTTGAAAATAAGACCTAGCCAGAGAATAACCCTTAGCATGATTCCTCCAGGATATGGAGGGCACGCACCCCTCACATGAGGGTTTTATGACCTGTTTCAGGGAGAAGCGTGCCTTTTCTACAAACTCCTTCAGCTTAAAATATTCAGTATGCCAAGGTGCCATATTTTGGCATCTAAAATCATGTGAGGGCTTATTTCCTGGCTAGGTCTTATTTTCAGGGAAACAGGGTATGACAAACAGGTACCACTATTTTTTTTTTTAAATCAAGGACAGATTTATCACTTTGTGAAGAAAGGCCCACAAAAGGCTTTATTCTCTTCCTCCACATAACCTTCTTTTCTTTTACTTTAGGTTTAGTTTCCCTTCAACCATGTCAGATTCTTATACTTCCTGCTTTTCTTTTATAATGATATCCTCCAATCTATCTAGAGATTCTACACACTTTCTGAGAAGCTGTAATAAAGTATTCCTCAACTATAGATAAAGACATTTACATTTGGTATGCACAGAGCTGCACTTCCTTCTGATAAGAAATAAAAAGACTGCATTCCCTAACCCTAGAATAATCTCCTCAATTTCCA